ATAGACAGGGCCTTTTGAACACCTGCTAATGTTTTTATAAATGTATGTTTTAATGTAACTGTGAAGCACTTTAGGCAACAAAATTGCAATTAAATGTGCTATATAAATAAGTAATAACAGTTACTACGCCCACTCCAGTTGTAGATTACTGGTGGAGGCAAGAACACTTCACACAATTTCCCCAGAAATTGTAGCTTTTCTAGTTTATTTTTTTATTTAACTTGGCAAAATTGAAATCTAGCATAATATAATTTCTTTTATGTTTATACTTACCTTTAACACAGTGGCTGTAAGTCTAAAATTAGTTCAGTTATTAAAGTCCCAGTGTGCGGTCTGTTAGGAGTCTGGTTCCACAGCAGTTTTATACTATCCGAAGAATTCTTTATGTTCTGCTCTAGTCCTTATCTTGCCTGCTTCTGTTTATATCATTATCGTGAATTATCCCTGACAACTAGCAGATTATTCACTAAAGTGAGGATTCACTCAACAACTTGCTTCAAATATTTACATGAAGATGAAGAGAATTAGACTTTGGAGAGAATATAGTAAGTGGAGGAGACACAGAAACAAGGCAATATGTACCCTGGTTGTGCCAGGCCTGAACTGGATAGTGATGTGAATTGCTTAACCTAAGAGAATTAAGCATCTCATTGAAAAAAAACAGTTAACATAAGTCATACATGATTCAAAGTTTAATTTAGCAGTTTCCAAAGAAGTGATGGTTTCCCTTTAAAGGCTTGCTTGGGTACCTGAGAACTATAGGAGTGGTATATCAATCACAGCACCTGGAATATCAAACATCACTTGTCATATAACACAGGCGGACACTGCAAGGACTAAGCTGGCCATTCAAATTCTGCAGCAGGTCCTGTACAATCTGCAGCCAGGATTCCTGCTTTTACGCTCTTGGAATGTTGGCTCTGTGTTTTGCAGTTAATTGAGGACCTGAAAGCAATCCAGTAAATGGGAGGATCAAGGGTTTGTGTGTTTTTTTTATCAGTAATGGTACCACTGCCAGACTGTCACTAACATAGAGACAAACGAGGTGCCGTCAAGGCACGGGGACAAATAAGGTGACTTTCCAAAGGTTGCCAAAATAGAGGTGGAACATTTTGAGGGTGGTCATGCTTAAAACAAAAGGTTTTTAGAACAAGGGAAAACAGAGACCCTTAGCTACTTAACTAGATATCTGTGTTACGTTTCACTGGGGTTTAGCTTCGGAGTTGAGTAGCTACAGCAACCTTTGTTACCAGAACCCAATACCAGATGAACTTGGACAGAATACTCTCCAACCGCTCAGGGAATACACTTTCTGCTGAGAAGATTCTACAACAATGTCAGCTGAAAGGCAAATTTAGGGTCACAAGCTTGTGACATATTAATCTAATGTTTTCCATTTTCCAAAGACTTGGCTTGGCAGTATCTGGAATTTAGATATTTTGGGGGGGGGTCGGGGGGGTCAGTCTTATGAGCTCACCTTAAAGAATGCCTATGGTTTTTCTCCAACATTAATCAACTCCTTCAGAATCTGAATCATTATTAAGGGTTTATCATCCTCCTCTCTCTCTTATATCGGGGGACATTGCAAACTAAATAGTCACTTTTTTACCTTGTGTGTTACGTTCAATATGCTGGATAAGACATTTAAATGAAGTATTTTTTCGATACTATGTTCCACACTTGAGGTTGTCAGCAGTCAGGCTGTGAAGTTTACATCTGCAATCAATCAACACTTTCTGCTCCTTAACATCTGCAGTAATAGCTTAATGTTTGATCAAGCTCTAATGTTACCATGTTGTGTGCGTCACAGACTAAACACGCAATCAGATTTTCCCCTGGTCAGTTAGTACTTAAAACAGGCCTTACAGTTGTGACATGTTTGTCTTCTTAAAGGCACCATCCAGACATAAGAGGAGTAAAAAATAAAATATATATATATATAAACATATCAGGAGGGCGTTTTCATAAAATATCAAATCATCTTTCACTGTAACTCTACCCCTTCCCCTCTTTTAAGAGGAAACTAAATACAAGTTAGCAGGAACCACACATCTGTACATTTCCAAGAAACCCATGTTCAGTTAATTATAACAGTGATCCATGCAGGGCCAAACTCATATGTGCAAGCAATGTGTCATTTATAAAGAAAACCTTTAAAATGAAAGAAAGGAAAGAAATTAGTTTTACAAATTTACCAGAACTCATCGTTACATAGTAGCCTAGGTTAAAAAAAAATGACTAAGGTCCATCAAGTTCAACCTTGAAACCCATCTTTTTGCTGTTGATCCAAAAAAAGACAACAACAAACTTAATTGTAGCCATTTCCAATTATGTCACAAAAAGGGGGGGAAATAATTCTTTTGGCTCCATAATGACAATCAGATTTCTCCTTCAAGCAACAAACTGTTCACAACATATCAATTATATCCTTGAATATTCTGTTTACGCAAAATAGCATCCAATGCTTGTGAAAGGTTAGTGAGCTCTCATGAACTCTCCCTCTGAAAATGATGGAAGACCGGGGATTGGTTAAAAGATGTCCACCCATTTTCTGGTTTCAGGAGAAATCACCGTCAGAGCTCTAAAAGCCCCTTCCAATTATTTCCATTACCTTTAAAAATAAAAAAAATCAGGTCGGCATTTCATTAGAAATAAGAAATACAATGACCTTTAGATAAAGGCAAAATTCACATACATTTATATTTACCTTATTAAATTGTGTATGATTTATGTTTTTTGATTTTGCAAACAACATATAATACATACATTTCCTCTTTTATCAAACTAATGGATTGGGTTACTAAATTAATAACTTGATTTATAATATTTTTAGGCATTGCTAGTAAATTTAGCAAAATGTAATAAACAGATGTGACGATCAAATTATAGAATGCGTCTCTATAATGATGTATTTGTACTGCCATCTAGTGGACTGTTCCCAAACAAAACGCTACTTGCAAGTTGAGGTGAGGGAAAACTAATAAAAGCTCCACTTACTAAACATATTTCTCCTATTGTAATGTGACATCTACATCTCATAAAGCAAACAAAATATCTAAGGCAAAAATGTAAGATTTTTTGTTGTTAGTTCTCCCTGCCAAGGCATGCCGTTTTGTTACCTTCCAACTATCCCAATTTTGATGGGACAGTCTGAATTTTCAGGTCTTGAAACCTGTTTGGAATTGTCCCCAAAATACTGTAGAGCAAGTACAACATTAAAGGGACACTATAGTCACCTGAACAACTTTAGCTCCCCTGCTATGTTAATAGCTTGCTAGACCCTACAAGAGCCTCCTGTATGTGATTAAAATGTAATTTAGTGATTGAGATACAATTATTTAAGGTAAATTACATCTGTTTGAACGTGAAACCAGTTTTTTTTTTCATGCAGGCTCTGTCAATCATAGCCAGGGGAGGTGTGGCTAGGGCTGCATAAACAGAAACAAAGTGATTTAACTCCTAAATGGCAGTGAATTGAGCAGTGAAATTGCAGGGGAATGATCCATACACTAAAACTGCTTTATTTAGCTAAAGTAATTTAGGTGACTATAGTGTTCCTTTAAACGTGCTCGCTCTACACTCAGGGCACTCGGACCCTACAGGGAGCACTGAAGGTCCTGCAAGTCCTGCCCTCAGTGAGAGAGAGCTCTAGTGGTTACTGTGCCTGAATTGTTCACACCCAGGGGCGGACTGACCACTCGGGCACTTCGGTCATGGACCGAGGGCCCGAGGCAGTCAGGGGCCCGGCAGCACAGCCATGTTCCAGCTGGAGAGATCAGAGATCTCTCCAACTGGAACAGAAAAAAATAATAAAATAGAACTATTTAATTGATAGGTTGTGGGGCCCCTGATGCAGCGCGGGGCCCCACAACCTACCGCTCTGCTAGTCACCCCCCCAATGAGACCTGGCAGCTTCACCTCCTCCCTGCCAGGTCTCCTGCTTCCTCTCCCATGCGGCTCTGTGTGATGGGAGAGGGGGGCCAGGAAGTGACATCACTTCCTGTTTACTCCTCTCACACAGAGCCCAGCGAGGGGAAGGAGCAGCAGCTGGGGAGAGAAGAGGGAGCAGAGATGCAGGTAGGCACCAATCACCCCCTCCCCCC